TTAATAGAGGAGTAAAAGAGAAAAGATTACCAAAGGTTGAAGAAATGGTGATAACAATTATAGACTATTCCTTTTTAATTTTGCAAGCAGTATAGGAGGAAAACTTCATATTTACTTGGATAATTTACAGCTCCTCATTTTAGAGGGTTAATAGATGGATGATTAGGTAGCTGGAGTTTTCTATTTTTATTAACTCTTGTATTTATTAAGTGAATACTTTATGCCAAAAACTGTATAAGGTTTTCTGTGTCATCCAAGGTGATGCTAACTGAACTGGAAGTTATTAAACTATCATGTTATGCACATAAACTTATTATGGAGGCCAATCCCTTTAGCTACATAGCACACAGAAAAAAGTGAATTCTGATTCTTGTTCCCAGCCTTTTTTTGTGTATACCTATTCATGTGTACAATGTACTGCTTGGAGTAGAAACATTTTTCATCTGAGTGGTTCTCAAATAATGAAGAGGTGTCCATATTTTAGAATTTTTACCAGGGCTTGAAAAAGGTCCAGCTCTCCCATCTCATAAATTTTGATGCATCTTTTTGGGGATGTACCTCTGATCAGAAATTGCTGTTCCTTATTACTTTTCCCAGTCCATCATTCCTGGGTTTAAGTTTCAGATTTTGCTTTCTATAGTATACAAACTTCAGTGAGTATTTCGAGGGAAAAGTATTTAATTATGTAGATCAGTGCTGTCATACTGTTGAAGGGCTTTTTTTTTTAAAGAAATTTTATTGGAGAACAGTGTGTTTTTCCATGACCCATCAGCTGTAAGTCAAGTAGTTGTCTTCAATCTAGTTGTGGAGGGCGCAGCTCCGTGGCCCATGTGGGAATTGAACCGGCAACCTTGGTGTTATGAGCCTGCACTCTAACCACCTGAGCCAACGGGCCCGCTCCTGAAGGGCCTGTTTAAAAAAAATGTTTAGTCTATCACGGATGGATACTTCTGTAAAATACAATAAAAAATAGATTACTAGGAAAATGAAATGGAAAAAAAAAGTATGCAAAGTATAAGCCCCAATTTTTTGTTAGATTCAAAAATTACGAAATTACACTGTTGAATTGCTCTGTCAGGTTTCTCTAACTGTGCTTGCTTAGTTTCTGTACATCTCTCTTCATGGATTAGTAACAAAAATCTATGGATTGGTAATGGTTCTTGGACCAGATTTTCTCAATCACACTTTGAGTATCACTGATGTAGTATACAGTGCTACAGTCTTAATTGTTCCCTTAATTTACATTGTCTTTAAAAGGAGTGGAAGGTTTTAAAGAGTTATGGATTATAGATTTTCTTTTTTTTGAAAGAGGTAATTTATGCTATGTAAAAAGCCCTACTACCTCCTAAATTCTTATACATAACTGGTAAAATTTTGGTTTTCGATTGTACTTCTTGCTTTGTACTGATGCTGAAATAAGGGTGACTTCTTGGTAATAGTAAGATTTTCTTTTAACATGCCAGTTACATATTTTTCTATGTACCTCGAAACTAAAAACAGGCATATTTTGAACATGAAAGGAAAAGTTATACCACTTAACACCACAAGATGTCACTTATGTAAAAATAAAGTTAGTACCCTGATACTCTATAGGTAAGTAGATAAATGAAGAACTGGGTAAATAAAAAAGTACAAAAACAAGTATTGGTTTTTAGCAGAGGAGATGAGAATATTGCCAGTTCAGCATTACTTTGAATTAACTCTTGATGTTTAGCAAAAAGAATGTCTTAATTTCTAAGTTAATGTAGTAATGCATGTTAATAAGCCATATTTGAATGCACATAACTAAGGAGGTACACCTAAAATGACTCAGTACAAGTGAACATATTTTGAGGGTAAACTAGGTGTTACGGCATTAACTCTCCCAAGTCTTCACTGTTTGGGTGACAAGCAAAGAGGAATTTCAGAAGAAATATGTAATTTATATCAGAATTTTCAATAGGTCTTTTTGACATATCCATGAGAAGTTGTATAGTTGAATAAGGTTGAAATATTACGTAGGATTTTTCTTTTCTCTTTTTCCTGAACCTCAAAGTTATTAGCTCTCTGCCTGTGTTAACATAAAAGATATATTTGTTGTTGAAGACTATCTTTTCTGTTAAACGAAGAGCAAAACCTTTGGCTTTAATATTGAGTTCCTGTTTTCTCGTTTTTAGTTTGAGAGAGCATGTCAGGACCTAAAGGTGGTTGGGAAGGGGACTTGGGCATATCAAGCGTAAGAGGAACAAATCAGGCTTCCACTAGTCATGAATAAAATACACCTGGGGTTAGAGTTTGGCTCTTAGAAATTGACACTGCATTATTCTTCATTGCTCACTTCTCTCTCCAAGTAACACTGGTGGAGAATAATGGTGGAAAACTCGTGGCATTTCTTATCTTTTGTGAAATGTCTATTCAAATCTTTTGGCCATTTTTTTTTTGATTGGCCTGTTTGTCTTAAAAATGAGTTGTAATTGTTATATAACTTTTTTTAAATTAAGTTTTTGATGTTGAGAGAATTGTAGATTCATATGCAGTTATAAGAAATAATACAGAGATCCTGTGCATCCATTACCCAGTTTCCTTTAGTGATAAACTATAGTACAGTATCACAACCAAGATCTTGACATTGATGTAATCTACCAATCTTGTTCAGATTTCCTGTTTTACTGTGTGTGTGTGTGTGTGTGTGTGTG